TGGACTCTCAGAGCCTTGGCCTTCCTGTCTCTGACTCAGTCTTTGCCTGGCCTCATTCATAGGGTTGCTATGAGGGTGAGATAAAGTCATAAGGAAGTAGAGTGTGATAGAAATGATATCACGTATGTTTCCGTTATCAGTATGAAATAGTAAGCTCCCAGTGCAGGTCTGTGTATCTTGATATGTATATTTTGTAGTGAAGATTCTTGTCTTAGGTGGAATTTGTACTGAATGGCTCAAGTTCCTTCCAATTCATATACATTGTGACTATGACACATTCATCCCGTTACTTAACTGTTTTTGTAAGTTGTATTTTAACGTTTTGAATACACAGTACCTGAGCTAAGATACTGAGGTGTGGGGTAAATGAATTTTTAGACCACAACACAAGTACTGAGAAGCTTGTTTTGTTCCATGGTGAACAAAGATCTTAAAGTAACAGCTTCTCTGTGTAATTCTCTCAGAAGCAGGGGAATCCAGATGCCTCATTTCCCCCAGAATTTGTGACCTCTTTCTGTACAGCAGCTCGACAGCCATTTTCAGCAAGCGGCAGAAAGAAAGGGCCTTAAATGAAAATGTCAGTGATTGGGGTTTTGAGGAATTTCTGATGACTAGGAAGGTCCCAGACACTTAGTCACTCCCTAGAGATTTGAAAATCTTGCTGGCTGCTGGCCGTGATTTGCATGGGGATTGAGTTTTTATTTCAGCCCTTTGAAAAAAGTAGAGAAACCACCAATCCAGTAGCTGTTCAGAACAACAAAGAGGAGTGAGGCGCCTTTGGCTTCTACCAGGAGTGTCTCTGAATTCCTCGAGGAATTCCAGGCCTAGGGCTGATGCAGCTGGCAGGAGGTATTGATCGCCACTTGAGTTCACTGAATAAATAATGGTTACCATAGTTATTAGCAGTCACCACTGACTGGAGAGCGGGGAAGACTCCACACACCTTCTGTGAGTTTGGCCAAGAGAAAGTCTGGTGACAAGCTTCTGTAATCAACCCCCTCCCGAAATCCAGCCAACACACTGCTCAGTTTCTTTACCCTGATAATGAATGTGAGATCTTGACTATTATGGCAGCCACGAGGCATTGAAAGAAAGGGACAGCTTCAGTCAGTGGATTGGTATTTCATTCTGGGAAATTCCGCTGTCCCTGGTTATGCACCTAATCGGATCTATCTCAGTATTTATAGAATTTAGCGTCAGCAAGAGCATTGTTTGATCCTGTTATAGTTATGTTGTACCTTTCATCATAAAAAACACCAGAGAGCTTCACAAAGGACCAGATCTCAGCGTGTTCCATTTTAACACTGTTTGTTTTTTGTGCAAACAGTACAAGCTGGAAGTTTTAAATGAAAAGAACAAAAGCTACCCAACAGCTCTGAATATTTTCATTTCTCTCTTTCCTTTCATCCTTATCTATATGCAGAAGTAATTCTGCATCCATGGGATCCCAGCTGAGATACAGTGTAACATTCTACTTTTATTTAGTACCATAGCCATGTTTCCATGTTGCTTCCTAGCCTTCCTATTTGTTCTTTCTGATGTCTACAGGATCTTCCATTATATACATGTATCATTATTTACTTAGCATTACCCCTATTCTTTAACCCTTAATTTGTTTCCAGGTTTTTTTTTTTTTTGCTTGGGGGGTTGTTTTTTGTTATAGGTAATGTCACACCAGGTATCTTCATGCATACAGTTTTATTCTTCCATTGAATTTGCCCTTTGGTAAATTTCCAACAGTGAGCTTACTTGGTCCGAGACAATGAACATTTTATAGCTCTTGAAATGTACTGCCCAAGGCGCAGTCTGTCTTTCTGTTTTGGGAAGGGTGAGGGGAGACAGCTCAGCAGGAGAGCCTTGCAGGCGGGATCCCTCTTGAGGTTCACTCTTGAGTCGTCTTGTCTACGACTGAAACCTGGGGACCGTGTATTTAGTAAAGTTGGACCGCGGACAGTGGGCTGTGCCTGGGCACCTTAGCTGACCGTTTCCCAAAGGAAGCCAACCTGTGCACTGCAGAGCTCGGGAGGTGGGCCATTTCCCTTGGTTTGGCCCTGCCGTTGCCAACTTCCAGCCACGTGACAGACGTTGTCTCGGGGGCTACCATGTGGATAGCACCCTACAGCTGACAGACTTTTACATGACATCTTAGATGAGCGTACAACCACCCATGGAAGTCCGTTCTTTCTTTTAATCTATCGTGTGGCGTTTAAGCTACACAGAGAGGGATGAACAAGCAAACAACAAACGCTTGTTGTTTATCTGCCACCTTGTAACACCAGTTTTCCTATGAGGACGTTGAGCCTTAGAGAGTTTGCGTGACAGGCTAGTAAATACAGAACTGGAAGTGGAACTCGGGTGTGCCTGACATCAAGTCTGTGCCCTTTTTTCTGTATTATGTTGGATTGAAATGAGACACCTGCATGTTACGATCTATTGAGATGTTGCTGGCCATTTTCAAGGTTGCACCTTAATTATGGAAGCTCTGGTAGCATAGTGCCTAAGGCATTTGACTGCTAACCAGAAGCTGGCGGTTCAAACCCACCAGCCACTCCTCAGAAGGACGGTTGGGCAATCTATTTCTGTAGTGATACTGCCTCGGAAACCTAAGGAGGACTCGCTGTGAGTTGGGTCCAATTCGATGGCACAAAACACCACCACCACCACCTTAGTTATAACACAGAGCTGGAAGGTGCCTTAAAGGAAAAAAAAGTTGCTGTCGAGTTGATTCCAGTACATGAGGGGCCCATGTAGGTTGGAGTAGAACTGTACTCCATGGAGATGTCAATGGCTGTCATCTTTGTGGAAGCAGATCACCAGCCTTTTTGTTCCACGGCCCCTCTGGATGGATTTGAACCTCTCATCTTTACTTTAGTACCTGATTGCAAACCACTTCCCACCCACTGCCACTAAGTTGATTCTGATTCATAGCAACCCTGTAGGACAGAGTAGAACTGCCCCAGAGGGTTTCTTAGGCTGTCAGTCTTTATGCAAGCAGATTGCCCCATCTTTCGCCTGTGGATTGGCTGCTGGGTCGAAACCACTGACCTTTTGGTTAGCAGCTCACTGCTTAACCATAGCACCAACCAGAGCTCCTTGCAAACCACTTTAAGCCAAAAAAAAAAAAAAAAAAATCACTGCCATCGAGTCAGGCTCAACTCATAGTGACCCCTCCTTGGGTTTCCGAGGCGGTATCACTACAAAAGTAGATTGCCCAGCCTTTCTTCCAAGGAGTGGCCGGTGGGTTTGAACCGACAGCCTTCTGGTTAGCAGTCAAGTGCCTTAGGCACTACGCCTCCAGAGTTATTAAATCCAACCTCTTCCCATTACAGACAAGTCCTAGAGAAGAAGGAATTTATTAAGTCATATACAAACAGCCCAATCAGGGAAGAAAGCAGACTTCCTTCTTCCCAGGCCTCTTTTTATTTGGGGCCAGAGAAGAAAGACATGTCTGGATAGTTGCTTCATTTTTCTGATTACCTTTTGCTTTACAGAAATAACTTTTCTAACAAAAATATCACCAACTAAGACATAAGTATAGGAAAAATTTGTAATTGATACTTGATTTCCAGGAAGGAGGACTTCTTCCATCACATATGAATTATAATTTTATATGTAATTATGTGGAGCTCTGGTAGCATAGTGCCTAAGGCACTTGACTACTAACCAGAAGGCTGGCGGTTCAAACCCACTAGCCACTCCTCGGAAGGAAAATGGGCCAATCTACTTCCATAGTGATACCGCCTCGGAAACCCAGGGAGGGGTCGCTATGAGCCGGTCCGATTTGACAGCACCTAACAACAACAAACCGTAATTATGTGCTGGGAAGTGAAAAGCTTTTCATTTAGAAAAAGGCTGTGATACCTAAACGCTGAGGGAGGGCACCATGATGTGCGGTGGATGGCCAAGCTCCTTTCTCATGACGTTGTTGTTGTTGTTGTTATGTGCCGTGGAGTCGGCCCCGACTTATAGTGACCCCTCCTTGGGTTTCCGAGGCAGTATCACTACAGAAGTAGGATTGCCCAACCTTCCTTCCGAGGAGTGGCTGGTGGGTTTGAACCGTCAGCCTTCTGGTTAGCAGGCAAGTGACTTAGCCACTATGCTACCAGAGCTCCTTTTCTCATGACAGGGAGGTGTAATATCACTCTGGGCCAAGAGGACACCCTGAAGTCCTGGGTTCAAATCCCTGTTCTTAGCAGCTATATGGCTCTGGGAAAATCTTTAACCTTAGGTATAAAATAAAAGCACATACTGTTCAATGTGGGGGTCATGTTATATATTGTTTCATAAAATATAAATTTCCAGTAGTCAACTCTTACTCTATTATAAAATACCTATGCCCGATCCTCCTTGTGCCCCCCCCACCCCCACCCTCTGAATTTTCCATCTCCAGGGGAGGAGGATATGTGTGTTTGCTGTGGAATGTCAGGCACAGGTCAGTCGGTGTTGGGAAGAGGGGGCTGACAAGGAAAATGCGTTCCTCTTAAAGCTGCTTAGCATGAAAACACAGGAATGCACTTGGTGTTGGGTCACGCGGGGCAACCTATGCATTAGCAAACAGACCTTACACTCCCACCAAGTGAGCTGTCCAGACAGAACATTAATTCACTGGCCTGGATGTGTTTCCGTGACGCTCTGAGAAAGAGTTGCCTGTTGGCGGGGCTTCTCTGAGTCCTTGCCCGGAGAATGTGTGCAGCATAATAACATGCAGTCATTCATTCATTGTGACCATGCGCCAGGAACCATGTGTCTAGAATGTGGCGTGATTATTATCTTCATTTTATGAGGAACCTGGGCTCAGAAGTTCAGGGACGTACTCAAGGGCACACAGCTGGGAAGTGACAGGATGGGGGTTCAGGCCACGGAGTGGCTTGAGACCAAAGGCTCTGCTCCAGGAGGGAGAGCACCTTGGTTCGAAGTCGCCGTCTCAAGCGACAGAACTGGACAGAGGCCTGTTAGGGAGAAGCTGCCTCCTAACCATGCCCTTTGCCTCCCTTCTGCAGAACGACATGGGTTAAAAGAGCCAAAGAGAGTGGAGCAGCTGTGCAACAAGATCACCGGCAGCCTGAAAGGCCAGCAGGGCCAGGGCCAGGCGCTGGAGCCCACCGAAGCCAAGGTCCTGCGTGCCCTGGTGGAGTTGCGGAAGCTCTGCACCCTGGGCCTCCAGCGCATCTTCTACCTGAAGCTGGAGGACTTGGTGGCTCCGCCCTCTGTCATTGACAAGCTCTTCTTGGACACCCTGCCTTTCTGAGCAGGAGCTGCCCTGTCTGCTAGCACCCGCTTGCCAGGCAGCGAAGGGACGGTCTGGACACCTCCCCTTTTCTGTCCTTCCTTAAGAGAACAAGCAGCTCCTGTAGAAAACACAGACTTTTTTTCTTTTTCCTTTTTTTTTCTTCTGGCACTTTTCTTTACAACTTAAAGCCAGACAACTTGCAGAGTATTGTGTTGGGGTTGTGTTTTATATTTAGGCTTTGGGAGGAGGGTGGGGGTATAGTTCATGAGGTTTTTCTAAGAAATTGCTAACAAAGCACTTTTGGACAATGCTATCCCAGCAGAGGGGAAAAAAAAAAAAAAAAAAGGCTAACTGTTTTCAAACTCTTTCTGGGGAATACAATTGAGGTTGCTCTGTGTTTAAAAGCAAGAACAGCCAAGGTTGTCGGCCAGGGTAGGATGTGTCCTGAGACTGATCCCTTTAGAATATGCGTCCTGTGTCAAGGGTATGTCTGTGGTGCAAACAAGGCAAAACTTCCCTTTTCTTGATTTCTTCCTTCATTTTATTTAAACAAACGGTGAAACATGGAGGATTACCTATAGGTCAGGCATAGCAGAATAACAGTGGCTGTCCGCTTCCATATACAAGTGCAATTTTTAAAGTGCTGTCTTACTAAGTCTTGTTTATTAACTCTCCTTTATATGTAAATAAAAAGGAGGCAGTCATGTTAGCAAATGACACATGCTGATTTTCCTAGCGAAGGCTTCATCCTTCTGCCCTGTGAAACCCTTCTGAGGTATGGTCCATCCAAGACTTTTTTGGCCAATCTTGATGGAACCAGGTCCCTGCCCTGACTGACCAGCTGTCCTAACAGGGGCTCAGATGATAAGATAGATTGCGCACAGCTGCTTTGCTTGCATTCTGTCAGCCTCACCCGAGTCCCCTACGCTCACTCTAGTTGTAGCAACTGACGGACACATCCGTTCAGAAGCTGCCAGGAGCACTCAGTGAGTCAGGCAAGTATTTGATCCCTAGATGAGAACATGCAAAGGAGTAGGAACTGGATCATACAGGGTAAACGTCAGGGATAGTACGGTTTTTATATATATATATAAAATTTAATTTTGCTATCAGTTAAAGAGACAATTTTGGAGAGCAAGCAAGTCTTATTTAAAAAAAAAAAAATTGTATGAATGTGAGTACTAGAGAGGATTAGTGGGCTGCGTTTCAACATTCCGTGTTCGTACTCCCTTTTGTATGTTTATACTGTTACTGCCATATTATTATGAGATAATTCGTTGCATAGTGTCCTTATTTGTATAAACATTTGTATGCACGTCATATTGTAATAGCTTTGCCTGTATTTATTGCAAGACCACCAGCTCCTGGAAGCTGTGTTACAGAGTACTTAAATGAGGTGTTCACAGTGACTTGGGTGCACCAAGGAGAAAAATAAATAAACATATATATATATATAAATATAGCAGGTTGCGTATATATATTTATAATGTGTCTTTTTATTAACCATTTGTATAAAAAAATACCACTTCCCATGCAGTTATTTTATGGTTCATTTGCAGTGACTTTTAAGGCAGTACTGTTTAGCACTTTGATATGAAAATTTTGCTTATGTTTTGCTAAATTCGAATAATGTTTGAAGATTTGTAGGTCTAAAAATCTTTATATTATATACTCTGTATCAAGTCAAAATATCTTTGGTCATTTTGCTAAGAGACAAACTTTGAATGTCATACTGATGTCACAGTAGTTTTTGTTAGCTTTACATCATTTTTGCTTTAGTCTTTTTAAAGGAAAAATAACAAAACTATGCTGTTTATATCATCATTAAATTATACAATCAAACAAATGCCAAATGAATTGCCTAATTGCTGCAAAAGATAACCCAGATAGCAAATCATACATGTTTTGTTTATTGAAAGTCCTTCTGATATTTGATCGTGATTTAGGTTTGTGTGAGCTTTTATGAAAGAGTGTTATTTTTATATTAAGATAATAGGATTTGGACTGTTCAGATCTTGGAATGTTAGACTTGGAAGGGGCCTGACTTGGCAACTAGTCCAACCCTCAAATTCATAGAGGAGAAAACAGAGGCCCAGCAAAGGGCCAAGGATTACCCAAGGTCAAGGCTAGGCACTAATTCCCTTTTCAATGATCTTTCTACTCAACTTACTGCATTCTAGGAAAACAGGCTTTGAAACATAACTGCTAATATTTACATTATAACTGAAGGTAACCACAAGTAAAGTAGTACTTTTGCATTAATCTTTGAGCTTATATGCAAACATAATAAACATTATTAAATGTCAGGAAAGCTAACGTTTCATACAAGGTAGCTTCAGACCAAATTCAAGTTGAATTTGAATAAGAAATACTGTTCATCCATAACCCTCTTGTGCGGCATTAGTATTGGAAAGTTAATCCTTGTTTTTGTCATGTCTGTAAAGAGAAACACAACAAACAAAAACAGAGCCCTAGAGAAATGCTGTTACTTTTTATTTTTATATCCATCAGGTTTAAGGAAAAGACTTCTTTAGCTGTGGTATCTATTGGTTGGAAGGAGTGAGGAAGTTTTGTTAGCTATGGGTTCAGACATTAGTGCAGAAAATAAACATGCTAGCCAGCATGCTTCCATCTTCCATGGTCGTTAGAGCTATGGGAGCCTACCAAGTCATCTAGCAGTTCAACTCAACTCTCTCTTGCTCTCTCTCTCTCTTTTTTTTTTTTTTTTACTTATGTTGACACAAGTTTCTATAGAGCAGATAACCACACTAGCTCATTAGAGGACAATAAGAATTCAAGTAGGTGATTTTATGGGAAAGCTCTCAGTGTGAACATGCCTTCTGCAGGAGATCAGGAATCTTCCAGCTGCTAATGGAAAGTGCTTACCTTGACTTCAGACAGCAGAGGTTTCCAAAAGCTCTCTGTTCCTCTAACAGCACTGCTCGTTGGTGTGTGTTAACCTGTGGTTTGAAAGAAATGCTCCTGTACATTAACCATGTAAATTTAAATGATTAAATTAAATTACATTTTATCAATGGCTACTGGTGTGTTGAATAAGCATGCTTCGTTTAACAGTTTTCTCTTAATCGTTTATGAGATCGGATTTGCTGTGAACACTTGAACACATCCCAAAATGGATTTTTTGAAAGGTTTAATCATGCTGAAGAAATTAATGGGCATTGAGAATTAGGAACTGTGTTAGACCTCACTGATTGGGAAGACCATTCTGGCTTCATTGACCATTTTTGGAGTGCTTCCTGTAGATAAAGCACTGGTGGGTATTTTGAGAAGATAGAAGCATGTACAGTGCATGAAACCTCATGTTTCTCTAAATTATAAACCCAAACCAAACTTACTGCTGTGGAGTCAGGTCTGACTCATAGCGACCCCTCCTTGGGTTTCCAAGGCAGTATCACTATGGAAGTAGATTCCCCAATCTTTTTCTTCCGAGGACTGCCTGGTGGGTTTGAACCCCCAGCCTTCTGGTTAGCAGTCACATGCCTTAGGCACTATGCCACTAGAGCTCCCCTTTAAATTATATACAACTTAAATGAAGCTATCTATATATTGCCTAAAAATATTCATTGGGGGTATGAAGGATTTATTTTTCTATTTAGATGATAGGATATCAATTGTGAACCAGAATTTAGAATTAGACTTAGAGTTCTCAAAGATTGGCCAGTATTCTCTGCCATTGAGTTCCAGCTGTTACTACTCCATCACCCAGAAATCTCATCTTCTCGGATAACGCAAAGCAACTTTAAACAGCTCTCCCCAAAACATCATATATTCTGAATTAGTGCAGATAGGTGTCTTTTTTGCTGTTGATGGCTCAAAAGGAGAAATGGGGGGAGAGGTTCATAATTACTTCAGCAATTCATCAAGTGTTTTCTGTGACTTCCAAGTGTAGGATGTGAGGTCTAGGAGCCAAACCCTTCCAGCTCCTCACCAGCAGCTATAAAGGTGCCTATAAAGGATGGTTTGTAAGAAAAAGATGAGAGAGATTTAGTGGGGCACCATCTTGCACATGAAGTCAAATGTAGGTGCTTGGTTAAAAAGAAAAAAAAAAGCAGGTCTAGGCTGTCTTCAGGGGATGATGGAGGTAAAAGTCTGGTTTGAATGGGGAAGAGAGGTGGGAAGGTCAGGAATTCCTATCTGTTCAATGCACAAAGATAAATGCAAGAAGCTACTGTTAGCTTTTGAATTTAGGTATGATTTAAGTGCTTTTCAAGCATAATCTTGATTTCTTTGCCTTAGGCGATGATTTCAGAGCCCCCCCCTTCCCTCCCCCCTTCCCTGCCCAGGAGGCACCTGAGATTGCTCCACAATGAGGCTAATAGTAAACCTGTGTTTCAGGGTGAGGCTAAAAACCAGAAGAACTAAAATCTAAAAGCCTTAGATGGGCTTTCATCTTGTCCAAATACTTTTCTCTGAAAAGGCCCTTGTGTTGCTGTTGATAGATTCCCTCAGGGTGATTCTAACTCATGGCAACCCCATGTGACAGAGTAGAACTGCCCCATAGGTTTTCTTCTCTGCTGTCATTTTACCAAAAGAGGGTCATCAAGTTTTTCTCCCACAGAATTGCTGGGTAGGTTGGAACCACCAGCCTTTCAGTTAGCAGCCAAATACTTAACCATTTGGGCCCCCAGGGCTCTTTGAAAAAGCCCATACTTGACTTAATGGGTTGAAAATCCCTTTCTATTTCGTGCAAGGTTTTTGCACCTTGCATTATTTAACAGGCCTCACTAGGAATAAAGTTCTTGGAGAAATGCTTCTAAAAATTCCTCGTCAGGCTTGTCGCTGGGTTGCATGTGACATTGGCGTGGGCAAGAGTGTTTGTGTGTTTTGTTTGGCAAGTACACTGTCATTCCCATGATAGTTTTCTTTGTTTCTGATTAACCCCTTTCTTTGTTCTCATCAGCCAGCCTGTGGAGCACTGGTCCCTTCTCTGCTATCTGCCATAATGCTGGCCATCTTAAGGCTGGGCCTATAGTGGTATTTGAATGACTTAACATTCA